GGACGAAAAGGTTTTCACTTTTCTGATATTCACGAAGAAACGGCGAGGCCGATCATTGCACAACGCTAGTCGAGATACATCGAATAGCTTTTAAATTTTTGAAATCGGTCCAGCCGTTTTGGAGAAAACGTCTATTTACGGCAAAAAATCTGTTCACACACATACACATACACACACACATACGTTTACAAATTTGGTCTCATTTGATTCAGAATAGCTTGAAACGTCGATAAAATGCGCAATTTTTAAAAATTCACAACGTATTTTGTTTCGTTGTTCGTTTTTTTTTGTTATTAGCACTGTTGGTTAGTAAATGAAATATGTTCTAACAAATTCTAATCAAGCTACCGCCTAGTTAAAATGAAGCTCCTTATTTTATATTTCATTATAAATTGGAGAACTTTATCCATTTTTCAGAATTATATAAACTAAATTTCAAAGTTAATTTTAAATTTTCATTTTTTCTAAATTAATTCTAGTGAAAATACCTTATAGTGATATACCTAACACCTCTAAAATTAATTCTAGTGAAAATACCTTAATATCTTACCCAAAAGACAGGTAATCTACTACTCGTGCCATTGAAATGGTGATATGACCGATCTATAATTTGAATATTAATTATCATTCATTATTTTAAATTGAGAAAATTCAAAATTCATAAAACAAAAGTGAAACAATATTATTTAAAACTATTTAGTTAAAGAAATACAAAAATTTAAAAAAAATAGTTGGATCCTCTCAAAACAGATGGACGCTCGTGGCCCCTAATATTATCTTTAATTTGTGGTTCAATAAAACTACTCATTCACTCATTGCTTTATTCATTTAAATAGCGTTGTAATATTTTCACTCTTTTCTAACACCAGGGGTCTATGATTTCACACATCATATGAGGTAATGCATTTACTGTTACAGGATATTTTAAAGACGTTTATCCACTTGTCTCAATATAGAATACGAGCGCGTTAATCGAGACCGATAACAATAAAGTTATTGTTATATTAAGTGGCACCAAAATGAACAAGGACAATGATCTAAACATAAAGAACCACAAACTGACGCACTGTATACAATTGATAACAAAGGATCAGATGGTGTGATTTGTAAGATATAAGATGTAGTTTATAATTGGACTCCCTTTCTCCATGACAAGACTCAATTGCTTTTAATGTAATTTTTTTTGGGCTTCATTTGGAGTCATTTCCAGTCATAGGAAGTGCTTTACTATTATTAATACTATTACATAATCAAATTTTTACAATTATAAGAGCTGCTAAAAAAAAGAACAGCGCACAGGGTGAGACAAATAGGAAAAATACGGAAAAATGGTATATATGGAGAAATAGTATATATGGACAAATTGTATATGATGCAATGGCCTTATTTAGAACATTCATAATTTAACATTTGTGTTTTCGGCCAAAAATCCGATTTGCTAATTTTATGTTTTCTCGACGTTTCTGAATTGAATGATATCAAATTTGGAAAAGGCATGTATATGTGTGTCGGCCGAGCCGTTTCTTCGAAATTAACTGTTGAATGAAAAAAATTTAATAAATCTTTTATGTTTATAGATAACTAATAAATTTTATGTTTATAGATAACCTAAAGAACATACTAAAATATTACATCCCCACGACAAGTAGTTTTATTTTAAAAATTCATCAAAGTTTGAACCATATGATGAATTATAAGAAGTCACTTTCATGGTGTTTCAAAAATGAATTTCACAAAATTTGAATTTCACACATTTTTTTTATTCTTTATTTTATTTACAATTGTTCCATTAAGGACATTTAGTATATTTGAGAAATTTACAATTGTCAGCCATAAAGGGACATTGTATTTCGCACTTTTTAAAGCCATGAAATAAACTCGAAATAAAGAAGCTGCTTTAGAATTAGCAAAAAGTGAGCACTTTACAAAACATCTCTAGTTATGTAAAAAATGTTACATTTAATTTGAATGATTAAATAATATCAAGGACTGCGTACATGATATATGAAATCATGCCAGTATTTTCTTATAATAGATGCTTAATATTTCACAAAATTATATATTAAGCTTATTAATTTTTTGACGACGTTTTTATTGAAAATTAACATTGCGATAATGTTTAAGTCTTACGAAAATTGATTATAATTATATAAATTAATTAAGATTTGCAATAATAAGCTGAATTTTTAGGACATACAAGCAGGGGGCCGGTCCTACCTTGAATGCGATGCATGCAAAAAATGCGGGCGAACGCCTTAGAGCGCCGTTTTTTCTTCAATTGAAGTTAACGTGGAATCAAAAAAGAAATTATATAGACACAAATTATAATAGAGAAAAGTGGAAAATGGGGAATCAGTGCTTAGAAAATGGCTTATTTATTCCGAGAAATTGAATTGTAACTCTTTTTTTGGTTTCAAATATTTCGCATCTGATGAACTTTGATTTTTTAAAGCATGCGTGGTTCGGGTTATGGAAATGAAGCAAATATGAATAATGGAATCAAAATTTACTTGAGAACAATAATTATTAAGCTTTTTTCATACCTAGTGGTGCTTTACATACTAAATTAAATTAAATACTACAAATTTAATTATTAACTATGCAGAAATAATACAGATACAAATATATTAGTTTTCTTTAATATCGTTCAAGAAATATGTAATTTCTTTGCACCTTTTACTAATCTTTGAATAATATTTTTAAAATACGTTAAAAATATAACAACAATAAAACAACAATCTGATACTCTGAACCTGATGGGAAATTAAAGACAAATACTTTATTATATTTGGCCTTTACAATATCAATTGTATGCAATTTTAGATATTGTAAATAATGAAAAATGAAATGAAAATAATATTTAAAAAATCCAACATGAAATATGAGTGCTATGTTTAAAAATGAACAGCCAGTATTTTTTGCACTCTTTCCATAATTTGCCCAATAAAACAAATCGCAAAATAAATAAATAAAATATTTCAAAACCCAAATATTAATATTATTGCACGTTAGAAATCAACCCGCGAATCGCTTCGATTTTCTGAATAAATTTAAAATCAATGTATTTTAGGCGCTTTCAAATAATATCAAATTTTTTGTGTACTAATTTCAAAATGATTAAAAATTTATTAACAAAATTTACCTATATATGTATATAATTTTAATGATAAACTATTAAAACAGTTAAAATTGGTGGGAGGGGCGCTAGAAAAGAAATTGCATGCTTGCGCTGAGGACTCCAGACCGGCCCTGCATACAAGCACTATAATTAATGTAATATATAAAAGTGTTTCAGAGAATTCAATAGAAAATCGCAATCTTTAGATTTAAGTGAAAGCGAAAACTTTATTTTTGAAATAAACAGTTGAAAATTTTATCTAAATATCTAAATTTCAATGTCGGTTAATTAAGTCAATCATTACACATTTCGGGAAGTTCAAGCAACATTCAACTAGTTCTAGTAATGTTTCCGCGAACGTATAACATGAAGGCAGCTATAATAATAATTCTGTCAGATGTTGAGCGTCATTGTCACAATATTGTCGAAATCATCAGTTCAAACTTGTACCGCGCCTTCAAAAGTTTATTTTGAAGGTGATTTTATTATGTTTTTGGGGATTTATATATAGGTATTATATATATATATATATATATATATATATATATATATATATATATATATATATTATATTTATCTCTATTAAAATAATTGAACTTATGCCAGTCCTAGTGATTTTGACCGATTTTACTGCAATATTCAGGTGTTTTATTTTATTTTACCGCTCTAAGACCGGCGAATGTTGGTGCTTGTGCTTGCTGATGTTCCAAAGAGGACCAAGCGATTTATTGACTACCTTATTAAAAAATAGCATCTCACAATCAGTATGTCCTTATATTATAATATCCATACAATATGGACAAAATTGTTTTTGTAACTAGTTGCATTTTTTCTTAATAATTATTTTATCATAGTTTCTACTTAAATAAAAGATAAGTAAAAACGATTGCGACGGGATACAGTATCATTGAAAAAATAAATTTAAATATCATTAAAAAACTAAACACCATATCATTCTGTCCGTACTTACGTTATAATTGTTCAAAAGTTAGTATCCTTTATATTCTCTATAAAAGTCAAAAAGTCAAATACATATTATTTCGTGTAATTTTCTATACTGCGCTTTATATTTAATTTTCAAGTATTCATTCTTTGCGATAAAAACGAAAAATTTTATGAACTATCCCATTTTTGCTGTTGGAAATAATTATATTAGTTTTTTTTTAATTTTGTTTTCCATATCTCTATATAATTTTTAGTGGGACTTGACTGCCAATCAATTACATATGTAATAGTATTAATAAAAATAAAGATATTAATGAATATTTTCAATTCTGTTTCAAATCACTGTTTTTTTTTGCAAATACGTCATCTTTTACTAGGTAGTATTTCAGAATTTTTCGAAGGCAATTTTGATTATGCCAACTTAACTTTCATAGATGCTTTTCACTCAATGACTATATATATTTTTTTTTCATTGTTCATTTATTCTGCTCATTATTTTTTGATTATACATGTTTCACTCAATTATTGCTAACCAGATTGGCAGTTCATGTACTATTTTATTCGTTATTTTGAGTTTAATCATCACAATTTAAGTAGGTTATGACTTAGGTTATTAATAACAACTGTTTTATTTGGTTTTGCTATTGCGAATTTTAAGAATTTATCAATTGTTTGGTAAGTACATTCATTATAACCCAAATTCAAGAAAACTAAAAGTGTATAAAACGTTCAAATTTTTCTTAATATTATTCAGTTTTCATGATAAGAACATGAAGTTATTCATTCAGAATCTTTTCATTTGGCAAATAGATTAGAAAAGTTCAATATCTACGATGCAGTTACTTATGTCAAATTGTGTTTGTATTTATATGCGCCGAACATTAAATAAAATTATCAAGAATATTATTAATTAACTGAAGTGTTGACAATAACTCACCATCGTCTGTATCAGCATTTCTAACTTCTCTAATAAATAAACACACAAAAAGCAACAGAATGTATCGTAAAATCATGTCTGTATAATTACTTATTTCACTAAAGTAGCACTAACAACTCTTGTTATAATGTAACTTTAGCACAGGTGGCAATAAAAATTTAAATCGTCACAAATTTAAATGTAAATAACTGCTCGAAATGATTTTTTCAATGGGTATCCTCGCTCTGTGATTGCGCAAGCGACAATGAGCTTTAACGGGAACTGTCCTGATACGATGAACTCTAATATGACCATGTGATATAACAATCAAAACTACTTGGACATAAATACGCATTGTGCTTCTGTTAAACCAGGACTATTGAAATATATAGAGATGATTTTGAATAGTTCATCAACATAGGGTAATACTGTGAATAAAAGAAATTGAACTAGTGTCATTCATAACGCATAAATGATTATAAAATTTGGTACCTAGAGGCATTCTAAATCCAAGCGCTTCTCTATTGGGAAAAATTCAGTCAATTAAAGAAATTTTCGAAATAACGATTTGAATAGTTAATTGAAGCCTGATTTTTATATGAACATTTGATAATGTAATTGTGTCGAATTACGTATAATAATAATATTATTAATATATGTTAATATTATTAACTTCCCGTAGGATAAGTTATTGTAATCGTCCAAAAATCGAAATTGAAAATTTTTACATTTTTCGACGTTTTGAAGGTTTCTGAACATTTTGGCATACCTCAGAAAAAATGGATGTGTGTGTGTATGTATGTATGGATACAAATTTCCAGTCACGTTTTCAAGCGCACGGATTAACCGATTTGAATGGTTCAAAAAACATTGGATTTCTATTGATAGGGAGAAGAGCAGATTAGTTTTTGGCAAACGCAGGTTCAGAAGTTACGGAGATAAAGAGCAAAGTGTGCAGAAAATAGAAATCGAGTTTTTGAGAGAACGGAGCATCCGATTTGAATGTTCTAAAAAACATTCAATTAGTAATGATTGTCAGAAGTGTTTGTCAGATTTTGGAAAAGGCAGGCCCAGCCATTTCGAAGATACGGAGCTAAATGTGCAAAAAATGGTAGTTTTTGAGAGAACTAGGCGTCCGATTTAAATGATTCAAAGAACTTTCTGCTTGACTTAACAAAATAATTAATCTTGGAAAAAAACTCAACTTTTTTTTTCAAAAAAAATCTTTTTTGTATATTGAAAATAATTCAGATTTTATTTTTAATTCTGACTAAAGTTCTAATATACTTCGAACAAATAATTTCAACTTTGTAATTTAGTTTATATAATTCTTATAAATATTAGACAATGTTACAATATTAATAATAATCTATTTCTAAACATTCAGCATTCCTCGAACATTTTGTTTCGGTGCGGAAAGTTCCAGCAATTTGCCTTAAGGCCCGATGCCATACACCCAACTAGTTTTTTTGCTATAGTTCCGAAACGAATAAAATCACAACAGACCCGTGAAATAGGCCACGTAAAAAACGCGCTAAGTTCATTACGTCGTAGGTGGCGTTTAAATATACTTTTCAAAGTAATATATCTATGAAACGATGGTTCTGAGGAAAAAAAAGTAATGATACAATTTTTGTAGTAGACAATTTGATTTAGGCATTTTTAAGATAAAACTGACCATTTAGCTGAAAATCGTGAAATATTTATTTTTTTGACGTTAATAATATAAACATTTATTTTTTTGACTTTTGACCTTGTTTGCCATGTTTTGACCTTTGCCAATTTTTTAGCTCGCACCGGAACGATGAGCGGTTTTGAGATTTCCTTTATAATTGTATTTTAAGCAATTTTACCAAGTTACAGCTCATTATGAATTATTGCTACCTTGAATGCGAAAATTGACCGGACTATGTATAATGTATATAATATTTATAATGATTTATATTAATTACAATGTACATACACGTGCATGTATGTCCTAAATTTGGAGCTTAATATTCCAAATTTTAATTAATTTCTAAAATTTCACCAATTTTCGTAAGAATTAAATTTATGGTAATATTTTTAAAACAACTAGAGAAGTTTGTAGGCTGATCAGTTCCATTTTTGCTAATTTTAAACCAGTTTCTTCAAGCTTATTCCGATAGTTGTTGAATTTTGATCAATTTTTAAAATTAATCGACTTGTAAGGTCATAATATTTTATCATGTTTTTGAGGACCATATTATATCTTTTTTTTATTATACATAGCAAACTATACACACAGTACATTTAGCTACTTTACAGGTAAAGTTGATTTGACATCGTGAGAAGGATCGCTATCTTGCGATAGCATTTTCTCAGATATTATTTGTTTTGATATAGTAAATTATTGCAGGTGGTTTTTCGAGTCCATATCATATCTATGAACAAACATTTTTCCAACAGTTAATTACAAAGAAAAAGCTCGGCTGATCTTTATCGGAGACTAATCAGCACGATTCCCAATCAATATCCTTCGAATAGTGTTTGAATTTTTAAAATCGATTTAGAATTGTGGACTAAATCGAATTCGAATAATTTTTCACTTTTCTGCTATTTAAAAAAGAAACGGCTTTGCTGATGATCATGCAAAACTGAAAAACGCTAATACATATCGAGTTACATCGAATGGCTTTTAAATTTTTGAATCGGTCCCGGCATTTTCTGGGAAATTGTCAAAAATGGTGGACTTATATTGCGGTGAGACAGGTAGTCAGGTTGTCAGATGATTAGGTAGATTGGTGAACAGGTAAGCATATAGACAGGTAATCTGGAAACAGACAGAAATTCGGAAATATAAACTGGTAGAATGATATACTGGCTTAATCAGACTGGTTAACCATCATACAGTTAAAAGGTAGGTAAGAGAGGTTTACCAGGTGAACATATAGAAAAATGGACAGACGGGTTGACAGGTAAAAAGCCAGACAGGTAAATATGAAGGTATACAGGTGAACAGAGAGAAAGATAGACAAGTGAATAGATATACAGACTGGTAGATTAGTGGAATTGTAGACACGTTGACAAGTAGACTAATAGACAGATAGAAATGTAGCTAAGTGAGCGCGTATACAAAGACAAACAAGTAGGTATATAGAAAGATAGAAAAATAGATATGCAAATAGGCAAATAGGCTGGCTGAATGATATACAGGTGGAAGAGTAGAAAGATAAACAGGTGGAAAGTTTGCCGGATAAACGGGCAGAAAGTTAGACAGATTGACATATTCATTACGTACAAATCTATTTAATATTGATTGAATTTATTATATAATATATCGGGTTGTTCATGCAACTTGCTTTAACGCTAAATGCTACTTACAACAAGTTTATTTTTGATTCTTTACATTTTTTGAAGATACTTTTTTTGCATTTTATTATAAATTTGCAAATTTATTTTTTTGGCACTATTTACCATGCTATATAGGCATCTCTCAAAATTCTATTGTATTAATAATGTTGATATAGTACATCAAAACAAATTAGGTCATTCGAATTAGATTGCAAATTAGATAGAGATTTATTCAAAGGACGACTGATTAGTTTCCGACCTAACAATGATACAAGAAGCTATTTCTTATTTTTTTATATTTGTGCATTCTCCTTCTTATAACTCTACATACTTCTCCCAGTGATGCTTTCATCACTGTAATCCATCCAAATAGTATTTGGTAAATTTCTATGCGAAAATTATTCACAAAGTCCATTGTCTTTGTTTGACCAAAGTCTATGTTCTCCCAGGACTGTTTGTACACGAGGAAGTAAAAAGAAGTCCTTTGAAGCCAGATCTGATGAGTAAGGTGGATGGCCCAAAATGGCCAAAAATTTGGCGAGTAACCAAAATATTGAAACCTACGTAAAAAAATTAAACAAATGCGCCTCAATTACTTATTTAAATTTTTATAACTGTTATCGCCTGCACTACATATGATTTTAACATAACATGTTCTGGTTGATATCCTATTCCAGGCGTATAATGATGCTTATTGAATGTTCGTAAAACCTTAATTTCGTGGTTCCCAACCGGTTGGACGTGCCTCCTCAGGGATAATATTAATTTGTAATATTGCATATTAATTTGTAAACTGATAATTAAATTATAATATTAGTTGAGAATATATGAAATTAAACTGTGCTGTACGAAAAGGTTGGAAAGCACTGCCTTAATTAGTAATTATTTTAATACGAATTAATTTTTTTCGACTGAATACTGTTATATGTATACAAAATATTTCAAGCATTTTGGAATTTAGGGCATTCTTGTGTCTTTGTCAACTTCTCATATTACTTGCACAAATTCTAACATATAATAATTCATTTTAAAATATTGGTTTGTAAACTCTTGATGATTTTCAGTTTGATTGAAAAATTGAGTATGCTAAAATAATTTAGTTTTTTTTTATTATTATGATGATATTTAAGAAATAGTATTCAAATTGGCACGCGATATGTTTCGCATAATTTTCAAAAATAAATCCTTATTCATTAATAAAAATGCACTTATAAACATAAATTATATCATTAGCATAATTTAAACTTTAACTTTTAAACTTTATGTATTGAAGATTATAAAATCATATAGGTCATACTTCGATATTATTAATGCAAACATTTTCATTGCTGATTTTTGGACAATTACTGTAACTTATCCTGCGGGAAGTTAAAAAGCAGAGAATCTGCACATTCATTTATGATTAAATTTAGTCTACCTTTAATTTGATAATGCCTAATCAAATGAATGTAATCATTTTAAACAAATTCATTAATATTTCTTAAACTTTTTAAAAGATAAGTTTCATCTTTAGTAGTTAACCATCAAGTAAGGGGAAGTTCCCTAGTGGCGGGCATCTAAGGTTATTTATAAATAAATCAAAAAATATTTTACGAAATGTTTATTAAATTATGATTTATGTTAGATAACAAAGTTAGAAATCAAACTAAATTAACAAAACCGCAATATTTGCTAAAAAATAATTAATACTATCAATTAAACTTTGGTATCAAAGAATATGATTTTAAACAGTGGCACCAAGTACCGGATATTTCAAAATAACCTGCATTGATCACATATGTAGCCATCTCCGCACTCTGGAATGTCTGCACATGTGTCTTTGACGAATATTCTTAGATATTGCAAAAAAATACTGTTTATCTACCCTTTTGGCTGCGCCACACCGATGCTCTCAGCTGAAGCATTCATCATAAGATTCTCATTCGTTGACTAGAAAATACAAAGAATAGGGGTATGTAGTGACCGTTAGTAATCGTACAGAACAAAATTAAATAATTGGAATAAATTACGAAAATTCTCACAAGAAACATCAATATGTTTACTGTCCGGCACTAAGGGACGACTTAGTGTCCGGTGCTAAGGGACAGATATTTTCGTTCATTTGGTGGCACTTACTAAAATTGTTTAAAAGATCTAATAATATTCTATCATTATACGGATAACAATCAAGTACAACTTTTATCTTTGCACACCATTCAAATGTAAATGCATAAATATGCTAGAATTACTTCCATTGATATTTAGGTGACGCCGTGATTTTGCGCCTAAAACAGGAAAGGTTTGCTCTCGCCGTGGCCGTGCGCGTCACAGGCTAGACTTGGCGCGTGATCCTGTACCTGTGTGCCCCTCATGCCCCCTGCTTAAATAATACGTGTTAAATAGAGTGTCCGGTTTTTGGTGCCGTCCGGCGTTACGAGACTTTCTCTATTTGCACATATTTTTTTTTAAAAAAAGGGTTATTATAAATGATATGTCACTTTAAGAGAAGTCATTAAATCCGACTGTTTTATAAAGAATTTAATATGAAAACTAAAATTCATGGTATCGCGTCATAATTAGCACTCAGTTAATGTATCCGAGGTCACATTGAGCAAAATCTACTACATATCAAAATTTTATTTTCATAATTTTTAACATTTATTATACAATTATGATTATTTACATATACATATATTCTATAGTATTTCGTTAATATAACGTCATCTTTATTTCTCTGAACATGCAAGAACACATTGTCGCAGTTTACATTAGGAAATAACATTTGTCATATACAACATTGTTATCTACAATATATAATGACAGTATATTATACAGATTATGCCAATACTTATTTAAAAATAATCTAGTCAGGTTAATAATAGTCAGGTATATTGTTTTTATAAAATCATAAAAAAATGCTAGGGTAAAGTTTTACTCAATGAAAAAAGAAAGGCTTATATGTAAATGCATATAGTCTAATGTTAAAGTCAAGAAAAAGATTATTATTGGATAATAATTCAGACCATTAATTCGATAATGTACATACAGTTTCCAAATTACGGATTTTTCTTTTGCAAAGCCAGAAAAAAAATTAATAAAAAGAATTAAAAATAAACGCTTTACGTTTGTATTAGTTGTAGTGCACTCTTTCGTAATTAGTTATATTTACAATTTTTTGCATAATATTACTACTATAAAGTAGGGTGGGGCACAAAGATCCAATTTGACTTTAGGCATTACATCAAAACCAATTACACATATCAAACAAACAACCGTCTGACTATGATCAGTAAAATTTGCTGCAGGTTCATCATTGTAAAAATGTGTTTTTTCCGATATTTTTCAAAGATTTGCCACCCGTTTTTCTACCTTACAGGCGGGGTAAAATAGGACAGCTAGGGGGCAAACAGATCTCATGTCTCATTTCTAATTTTAAATTGATTTCACGAAACAGTTAGCTAAAATATTCCAACAATGCAAAATATAAATTCCATGAGCCCAGATTTTACAAATATGATACTGTATATAAACTGGATCTGGCATTTTGTCAGAAATATTAATCAGCAGAGTTGAATAGCTAATAAATTAATTTGTTTTTTATATTTTTATAGTTTACATCTTTGCCAGTGTTGGCTTATAAAGGCTTAGTTGGTCCTTTTTACCACACCCACTGAAAAGCTGTTATCGAGGTTATATAATATCATCTGTTGAATCTAACTTAGAAAGCAATTGAATAACGTAAACTTAAAAATTATATTAATGTCTCATAAACTAAACAACAATACTGTGAGTCAAAAAAACTGACAGCAACAAAAAACTAGTGGGGTATATAGCATCGTGCCTTAAGGCAAATTGCTGGAACTTCCCGTACCGTAACGAAATGTTCTAGAAATACTGAATGTTTTCAAATAGATTATTATAAATATTGTAACATTGTCTAATATTTATAAGAATTATATAAACAGAATTGCAAAGTTGAAATTATTTGTTTAAAGTATATTAGAACTTTAGTCAGAATTACAATTAAAATCTGATTTATTTTCGATATACAAAAAATTTTTTTTTTAAAAAAAAATCGAAAAAAAAATTATTTTGAAAGAATTTTTTTCCACAATCAATTATTTTGTTAAAACAAGCAAAAGTACTTTGAATCATTTAAATCGGACGTTTAGTTCTCTCAAAAACTGCCATTTTTTTAACATTTAGCTCTGTATCTTCGGAATGGCCTACCTTTGCCAAAAACTAATAAGCACTTCTTCAAATCATTAATAATTGAAAGTTTTCTAGATCATTCAAATCTGATGCTCCGTTCTCTCAAAAACTCGATTTCTATTCTCTGCACTCTTTGCTCTTTATCGGTTGATCCGTGTGCTCGAAAACGTGACTATTTAAAATACAAAACTAAATTTTTCTGATATTAAATATAATTAAATTTATAAAAAAATTATAATTAATTGTTAGATACAAATAGAACCATTTTTAAACATTAATATTCTTTTTTGTTGTAAATTATTAACTTCCCGTAGGGTAAGTTATTGTAATGGGCCGAAAATCGGAATTGAAAATTTTTACATTTCTCGACGTTTTGAAGGTTTCTGAACGTTTTGGCATACCTCAGAAAAAATGGATGTGTGTGTGTGTGTGTGTGTGTGTATGTATGTATGGATACAAATTTTCGTCCACGTTTTCGGGCGTACGGATCAACCGATTTGAATGGTTCAAAAAACATTCGATTCCTATTGATAGGGAAAAGAGCTGATTAGTTTTTGGCAAAGGCAGGTCCAGCCGTTTCGGAGATACGGAGCAAAGAATGCAGAAAATAGAAATCGAATTTTTGAGAGAACGGAGTATCCGATTGGAATGATCTAAAAAACATTCAATTAGTAATGATTGGGAGAAGTGTTTATTAGTTTTTGGCAAAGGTAGGCCCAGCCATTTTGAAGATACGGAGCTAAAGATGTAAAAAATGGCAATTTTTGAGAGAACTAAGCGTCCGATTTAAATGATTCAAAGAACTTTCTGCTTGTCTTAACAAAATAATTGATTTTTGAAAAAAAATTTTGTTCCAATTTTTTTTTTTTTTTTTTTTTTTTTGTAGTTTTTTGTATATCGAAATATTTCAGATTTTATTTTTAATTCTGACTATAGTTCTGATATACTTTACAAATAATTTCAACTCTGCAATTCAGTTTATATAATTCTTATAAATATTAGACAATGTTACAATATTTATAATAATCTATTTGAAAACATTCAATATTCCTCGAACATTTATTTCGTTACGGTACGGGAAGTTTCAGCAATTTGCCTTAAGGCACGGTGCCATAATTGCCTCAAGACAGAATTCCACTTACAGCTAGTTTAACTAAGTAGTTATATTACAATCAACTATTTAAATTATCAGTTAGAAATTCAATTTTATTTTATTGTTGATCAGACATTGAAAATTATATTATGCCTTGAATTGCAATATATTTTATACCTTTGTGTTACTACTTCTCTTAAAACCATAGAAGTCTATTAACATGTTCAAAAAAAATTTGCAGAATATCGGTGATGTGCGAGTGCATTTTCCTTTGGTAATATTAATTCTATTTTATTTATAATACAATAACAATAACAATATAAAATAATATAAGTGAATAATAACATCTAACCAATATTATCATCTAATTATCATTATCAATTTGTGTATCAGTTACTAAATCCAGTAGTTCTGTGTTCAAAACCCGCGTAACTCCAATAAGGTGGCACACCAGCAAAAAGGCCGCTGTGGCTCGATGAAGATTGTTGGGCGCTCGTTCCCGTGTTTGCCATCACTTTTCCTTGTGCATTTGGTTGATACATATCACTTTGAGCAGAAGAATGTGATTTCAAAGTATGTTGTGCATGGTGACTCAATCCTGCGAGATGACCCTCGTGCATGGGTAAGGAAAATCCTGCTCCCATACCAGGGCCGCCGTTTTGAATTGGACCTCCGCCCCCAGAGGTCGATTGCGCTTGACAGGCCATCATCAGGCCGTGGAAGTCAAATTGTAAGCGTAACGCTTGCCGTGTACTTTCGTCATGATGTTTTTATCATAGTAGTACCTGAGAATCAACAAAATAGTCTGAATTAGTGCTTTTTAAAACTTTGATAAGATAAATTAAAAATATTTTGCTTAGGACAAAGGACGTAATTATAAAAAGTTTATAAAAGTTTAGTGCATTAGTTTTTTTGCTTTAAATCCCATCGATTTTTGAGATGCAATCAGATTTACTGATGATCATATTTGGAAATAAGTTCGAAAATCGCAGACTAAAATGAAATTTCACGTGACACAAAAAAAAACTAAACTATCAAATCCTTAGCAAGGGATCTTTATTGGCTTATGGGATATACTTCAAAATTAGCACTCAAAATCAAAAACTTGACTTATAAAACAATAATAATTTATATGTGATCATATGGAATAGAGCTTTGGGGCTGCTCTACCAAATGTAATATAGCATTGGTATAGTGGATCCCATCAACTACTTAGAATGAAGACAGATGCACCCTGGTTTGTGAGCAATAAAACTCTACATTATGATCATCTCTACTATATATAAAGTAGTTTCATAACAAATAAGATCAAAAATTAGAAAATCACCCTAATTTACACGTTGCTCCCACTGCTCCATGCACCAGAATCGAGAAGACTAAAAAAATTATCGTCATGAATACATTTATACTAATGTATAAAAATAAGTATATAAATATGGAAGGAGTATGCAACAACCCAGTATCATGTAAAGAGTTTGTCAGAATTAGAGTAGTAATTAGAAGTAGTAATAGTATTAGTAGTAAGAAGTAGATGGATTCAAAAGAAAGAAGAATTCGTAAAATAATAGAATGTAAAATATTAAAGAGGATGTTGAAATAAAAATAATGTATATGGCTAAATGCTTGTACAAAGGACAAGAATATAACTAATGTTCTGATTGTTATTAAAAAAATAAGTAAAAATAAAATTAAACAAAAAAAACTGATTAACATAGCATTTTTAAATTTTAGAACTGATTTACAACTAAATTATTTTATGAATTCAAACAGATGAATACAGACAGGCAACATTTATTCCAAATGGTCAGATACGTCTGTAGAGGATTAATTAATTGCATGCGATGATCGATATACACTAATATTGATATAACTATATGGGCTCAATCTAAAAAATTCTCAATTTTTATATCCAGCCAATATTGGGTTTAAATTTAACCAATGTAAATTCTATATTGCTCATAGATTCCATTCAAATTAATTTCTATATAGGGTTATTCATATAAATTAGCGCGTATTGAAATTTAAAATAATGGTTTGAATTGTTTCAACAACGCTTTTACACATAATTTTGGACAAAAATATTTTGATAAGGTAATTTTTATGTATAGTGTTTATTAGTTTTATTTGCAGATTTTGCAACTTATTAATTTCAAATTAAGCTAATCTTGTTGAGATCTTGCAATAAAAAATGAAAAATCTATTCGCAGTTTTGGTTCAAGCATTAAATTTACATATAAGTGACGGAAAAATAGGAGTCAAGTAATATTTAGATTATTGGAAGCATTTAAAGACTTCTATTTTTTCATATCACCTACTATTGTGCAAATAGTGTACTTCAATATATTATATTCTTAAGTATGTAATGATTATTATTGTATGTTGATACAATGACTATTATTTATAAGTATAACAATTTTAGAGCTTTCTGTAATAATTAAGTCTCAATTGAGACTAAGAATGGTCTTATATATTTTGTCAAACAAAAAGCTACTGAGAATTTTATATTATTTAATGGCTGAGCGTGCAGTACCATGCTAGTAAAATAAACTGATGTATTGAGATTTAGATCTCAGTAATTTTATATTTTTTGTTTCCACACAAAATATGTATGTATGAAATTACCTTAGTGCTCTGCTTAATTTATCATAATTCATGTTCGGTTTGCTTTTGCGTTCGCCCCATCGTCTGGCAACTTCATCAGGATCATTCAGTTTGAATTCGCCATCAGCACCCTCCCATGCGATACAAGCGGCATTGAGGAGTCGGCCAACAGCTCAAGAAGGAACTGCCACAATTGCACTTGTCCTCCAGCACCGGCAGCCGCAAGGCCACGAGACGCAGCATTTAGCCATTGGAAAGGATCTAACAAAAAATAAATATTGTTACTAAGATTATAGAAAATAATTTAACTTAATGGAGATCAGCTTTCAAATAAAATGTCAAGATGTCGGCAATCAAACGGCAACAAAGATATCAAAATAATTTATAGAAAGAAATTTTGAATTCTCCGTATTGATTGATCCATAAAGACATCGATATCAGTACAGAAAACGATGAAAAACGAACTGATTCGCACATTTTCAACGACAAAAGCAGTCACAATCAACCTTAAAACTTGCCTTAAAAACACTACCAGGGTCAGATTAAAAAGAAAGTTAATCTACATTCATATCTGACAATCTCAAAATCACTATCCATAGTCAAATGATTTTGTGTTTTTAAAGCCTATTTTAAATCCTAAAATTTTACAAGTTGTCTATTTAGAATAGTTGTTACAATTATAGGATCCACTTACCTATGTATAATAATAAGAAAATAAAACCGAGTAATAACTGGTCGAATCGAGTTGTTGTTTCCTGGATTTGATTCAAATTTAAAGGGCATGTGGCAGAATCGTTCATTGAATGTCGTGATAGTGGTATTCTATATTTTTCAAATACTGATATGCAAAAACTATTGTTAACAGTTTTTTATTGCACAATTCAAAACATTACTCAAAGCTAAAAATTTTAATTGCATCAATGTCTGTATGCTTATATTGAGTCTTTTGCTCTATAGTTTTGTATGTACATTACTAATATTTATTTTGATTGATGATCTGTTTTGTCTTTGGTTGTAAAATTAAATATGAGTTATTTTTTAGTGTTTTTAGTTTAGTGCATGAACTTTTTCACAATCTTAAATTTAAGAAAACGTCGAAATATTAAGAATCTGCTAAAAGAAAATGCTGGTACGATTACATATATCATGTACGTATACGTACATGATATATGTAATCGACCAGCATTCTTACAGTAGATATTATTTAATAATTTAAATGAATGGCAACATTTTTTACAAAACTAGAGAAGTTGTTATACTGTTCATTTACTTTTTTTGCTAATTTCAAAGCCATTTCTAATTGACTTGATTGACTTATAATATCACAAAAGCGACTTTGACTTTTTTTTTAAACTTTGTTGAATTTTACAAATTAAACTACTTGTCGTAGGGCCGTAATATTACAATATGTTCTATAAAACCATGATATATATCTTCAAAAAAAATATTCAAAAAAATCGCCGAATTTTTTTTTCAACAGTTAATTACAAGAACTTGTGCCAGCGAAACTTTACGAAAGAACTAATCAAGTGGAATCTCAACTAATATATTTTGAACAGTTTTTGAATTTTTAAAATTGTGAGCTAAAACGTGAGCATTTTTTTTACTTTTCTGCTATTAGAAGAAAAAACGGCTCGGCCGATCGTCGCCTAAAACTGATTCAAACTAAGGTAAAAATTATGTTCATATACACACACATACTTTTTCCAAATTTGGTCTCATTCGATTCAGAATTGCTTGAAACATAAAACTAGCAAATCGGATTTTCTGATAAAAAAAATAGTTTTCCTTCGGGAAGTTTATAATGATATATTTTTATTAATTTATATAAAACAAGATGACAATTTTTTAATATAATATACTAATATTTAGCGTTTACCTAAAAATAATAATTATTGTTTTTTAATTACTCTTCACGCCAAAATGCATATACATTTACAATATGAGCGATGTTAAATGTAGAACTGCTTCAAATAAAATGATTAGTCTCAATTCTCAAACTAAATTTGAAATTGAAGTCTTTTAAACGGTATAACATAACCATAACCATAACCATAACATAACACTGGTACTTCATGTTGGATTCAATTAATTTTTAACTTCCCGTAAAGTTATAGTAATCCGTCCAAAAATCGAATCAAAAATTTTTACATTCTCGACGTTTTGAAGGTTTTTAACAGTTTGGCATACTTCAGAAAAAATGGATGTGTGTTTGTGTGTGTGTGTGTGTGTGTTTGTGTGTGTGTGTTTTGTATGTCCGCTTTTTTTTGTCAACGTTTTCGGGCGCACGGATCAACCATTTGAATGGTTTAAAAAACATTCGATTCCTATTGATAGGGAGATGTGCTGTTAGTTTTGGCAAAGGCAGGTCCAGCCGTTACGGAGATATGGAGCAAAAGAGTGCAAAAAATAGAAAGCGAATTTTGAGAGAACGGATCAACCGATTTGAATGGTTTAAAAAACATTCGATTCCTATTGATAGGGAGATGTGCTGATTAGTTTTTGGCAAAGGTAGCCCAGAGGTTTCGGAGTTACAGAGCTAAATTTAAAAAAAAATGGCTGTTTTTGAGAGAACTAGCGTCCGATTTAAATGATTCAAAGAACTTTCTGCTTTTTTCAACAAAACAATTGATTTTGGAAAAAAAATTTTTTGATTCTAATTTTTTTTTCAAAAAAATTTTTTTGTAATTTTGGACTAAAAATTCAAAAATCACCCAAGCTAAGCACAGTCTAAGCGCCACTCTGGTACCAAATGTTTACCCAAGTGCGTTTAGACTGTTTTGTACTGGAGCACTTTTCCAATTTTGTGAAAATTATTGAAAAATGTGAAATGCCGCCAAGCTGAGCACAGTATAAGTGAAAATATCGCACAGAATTATTTGCAAATGCGTTTTAGACTGTGACTATGCTGGAGCACTTTTTCAATTTTGTGGAAATTTGGCAACTATTTTTTTTTTTTTGAAATTTGATTCGAAATGAAATGACGATTGTTAATGTTCTGGAGGTGATAAATTGATTTATTTATAATTAACTTTCCCGTAGGGTAAGTTATAGTAATAGCACAAAAATCGAAAATGAAAATTTTTATATAACTTTACGTTTCAAAGGTTTCTGAATATATTGGCATACCTTAGAGAAAATTGATGTATGTGTGTGTAATGTGTGTGTGTGCGTGCATTTGTGTGTGTTCAGATACAAATTTTCGTCGACGATTTCGGGAATCGGGATGAAGCAATTTGAATAATTCAAAAACATTTTACTTGCATTATCAAGATGAAGATTTGATGAAATTTTTATGAAATTAGTCTAGCGTTTCAGAGATCTAGTAAAAAAAGTAAAAAAAAAACAATTTGGCGGGTCAACATAATCATTAGACTTAGACATATGCACATCAAATTATCAGATATTTTATAGATTTTTAAACAATGAGTATACATTTTGTTAACATTCCTATGGGTTCCGTACCAATGCTTATGCTTTAGACAGCGACGCGGCGCTTACGCGCTTCGATATTTAGTCTCTATGCATTAAAGCAGTACGATTGCTTTGAAAAAAGTCAGAATTTCCAAAATATTTCAAAATAAATTTTTCAACAAAAAGTAAGTGTTTTGTCAAAAATTTATATATTTCCTCAAAAATCTATTTTTTTTTAGAGTAAATTTTTTTAAAAAAGTTAATCTTTTCAAAAAAAAATAATTTTTGGTACGGGAAGTTCCAGCAATTTGCCTTAAGGCACGATGCCATGCGCCCCACTAGTTATTATTTA